TTGCCTGCTCTGTAATATTTCTGTCATTCATCTCCCTCAGGAGTTTGGTCACTGCTGTCTGTAAGGGTGAGAATTGCATGAGATAGATGGCCTGTTGTGTTTTTGCTGTACAGTTGGCAACACAAACCATGGTTGCTATAGCATTAACAGAGAGATCTAAACATAGGACCCATCTATCTGCCTGTTAAATATGCCACATTAATTGAAAATGGAATTGGTGTCCAGCCAACAATAACTGAAATCAATTGATCTCACGTCTGTGTGCGGGACTTTGTTATGTGCAAATGGCTACTGTATTTGTTAAAAAAAAATGTATAAATCTGCCACAACAGAGAAATACTATGCTTAGCAATAACTAACTGTAAGGCATTCAAGACACGATGATGTGATAAGGCACTACAAAAGTACAAGTGCATATTATCAAATGAAAACATATTAGGTTATGGAAGGAGCTAGCAAAAAACCATGGCTAGAGCCGAATTTATAATAACTTTTAAAAGGAAATTAGAGAAATACTTGAAAAAGATCAAAATCGAGGTCCATGGAGAAAACGACAGAGTCAGTGTGCACACAATAGGCTCAATGGCCTTCTTCCGTGCTGTAAAACTCGATATCTGATTCTCTTTGCCAGTGTGTGAACCTTCTTTTATCAGTAATGTTTGAACGTCACCATCTGCAGCATTTCCTGAAGCGACATACACACCAGATCTCTGCGTTGCCAATTTCTCCTCTCATGCAAATGTAATGTTAAGTAATGACTGAGCGCTCCCTCGTGACAAGGGGTTGAAGCCAGCGATTAATAACTTTCTGGTCACGTAAAGCAAGAACTGCCCTCATCACAGTGTGAACCAATAATGATGTCAACCGAATTAAATTCTAACAAAAGGATATGAAACATTTACTTGAATACAAACAATACGATGTGCAGTCTACCTTCAGTCACATATTTGTGGTGTGTTGTGTTACAGGAACACAGACTTGTCATCATTCAACCAATAAGCAATACAGTAAAACATGAGTGCGCGTCAGATGGCAATGGTTTGGTGCTCAAGCTTACATCCAAAACAAGTTCTGACGTGGCAAAACCTTACTTGAAGATTTGTCACTTTTACAGTATGCTTCCAGTAGGATGAGTTTTAATAATAATAATAATCCTTGCATTTGATATAGCGCTTTTCACGTCGGGAGGACGTCCCAAAGCGCTTCACAGAACACACTGTAAAGTGAATTGACTGTGTATTTGTGGGCGAACGCGACAGCCAATTGCACACAGCAATGTCCCACAAACAGTCGTAGATTGAAAATGACCAATTTATTATTGTTTGTGGTTTTGGAGGGATTATTATTAGGCTCTGTGTGGAGTAAGGAAACTTGCCCAAGGTTTCGCCCTCTGCCTGGAATTGAACTCAGGTCTCTCACTTGCAAAGCGAGTGCTCTAACCACTGAGCTACAGGACTCCACTTTTGGATGCAATGTGGGCGATTCTCTGCCACTTTGTACAGCCATCAATCTCAGTTTAGTTATCCAACATCATTAGAGGTTTGGTTATCATCACACAGCCAGGATTCAGTATTTACAAATCATTACAAACAAAACCGACTTGCGTTTATATTGGACCCTTTCACGTGGTTTAGGTCTCGGAGAGCTGAAAACAAGACATCCAATGTTCAATATTACCTATGCTTAATGTCTTCAGTATATTCACTTTAACAACAGAATATTAATATTTGCATTATGGGTCTGGTCAAGAGCTTATAGGGAAAACAACTGTGAATCTTCTATACATTGAAGAGGAATATTTAAGATGTTTTCACACTTTAATTATTCATGTATTCAACCACACTTTCTGTCATTGTTAATACACACTGACTTTTGAGTTATTAATATCACCTAGTGTATTGCAAGAGAAACCTATCAAGGCTTGGGCTAATACATCAACACAACAACAACTTGCATTTATATAGCACCCTTCACACCCGATGGTGTCTCGGAGGCTTAATAGCGGCAGAGTCTGATAATAGCTCATTAACCATCAATGGAAGGCATTAAATGTGATTCTAATTACATAATTGAGGGCGTTTGTGTATGTTTAAGAAATGGTTAGCCCATGGGCAATCAGCTTAGTGATGTCCAATACAGATACCAATGTGGTCAATGAAGTAACGGATTAGCCACTCGAGATAAAACCTGACGCCTGTTTTCGGACAGTGATTCGGCTAATTCACACAAATTTCGGGACATCAAATTGGAATGCATCTCTCGGAAACTGGAAATCGATAGCAAATCCACGACCGCAGAGAAATCTTTCCACGGAACTGCCGTTTGATTCAGAGCTTTTGAACGAATGTAATTGACTATTTTAATCTCTGTGTTCATCACACCTTTCGTGTGAGTCATTAGGGGATGTTTGAGTGCACACTTTTTGCTGCTGATGTTGCGTGAACCTCAGTTGGCCAGACTTTTTATGTGGAATTGGTCACCTGTGACTAACTTATTGGATACCTCCACATTTGCAACCACTCATTGTCAATTGGGTAACATTTCTCTCTTTCAAGGATATCTTGTTAAAAACCTAAAGATCACGCTCTCTCATAGTTTGTTACAATACGTGTATGTGTGCGACGATATCCACGCAATATGTGCAGGTACATATATTTCAGGTTCACAGTGTTCAGTGTAAACAATGTGACTGATTGTGCGGATTCTCTGATTGGTGTAGTGACTGTATTTTATGGATGAATGCGGCGACCAATTTGTGCGCAGCAGTATCTCACAAACAGCCATGAAGTGAACGGGGGATGCGTTTTTTTCTTTGGCAGATCTGTGGGGATTGTCATCAAGTCCACTCAATGCAAATAATAATAATAATAATAATAATCCTTGCATTCGATATAGCGCCTTGTGGAGTCCTGTAGCTCAGTGGGTGGAGTCCTGTAGCTCAGTGGTTAGAGCACTCGCTTTGCAAGTGAGAGACCTGAGTTCAATTCCAGGCAGAGGGCGAAACCTCGGGCAAGTTTCCTTACTCCACACACAGCCTAATAATAATCCCTCCAAAACCCAAAACAATAATAAATTGGTCATTTTCAATCCACGACTGTTTGTGGGACATCGCTGTGCGCAATTGGCTGTCGCGTTCGCCCACAAATATACAGTCAATTCACTTTACAGTGTGTTCTGTGAAGCGCTTTGGGACGTCCTCCCGACGTGAAAAGCGCTATATCAAATGCAAGGATTATTATTATTATTATTATTATTATTATCACGTCTTCGAGACGTCTCCAAGCGCTTCGCAGGATAAACTCCAAAGTGAATTGGCTGTATATTTTGCGGGCAAAATGCAGGCTGTTGGGGAAAATATTTTTGTATTATAAAAGGCCAGAGAACCTGGCATTTTCCCAACAAGGCAATCTGGTGTTGCTTCTCATTGGGAGAGGCCCTGGTAAAGAATTTCTAATTCAATGATTACATTTACACAAGATCCTCCTCCAGCTAAAGTCTCCCCCCCCACCCGCTCCCCCCTCCCCCCCACACCTCCCCCAGCTCTCCGTGTCTGCTTTTCCCCCAATCGATTGCAGTCGGCCGATTGATTGCCTTGTGCCCGAGGGCAGAACATCATCGTCAACAGCCCGTCTCGCTCTGTAACGGCCGCAGCCACTCGCCGCTGAGCGCAACGAGTCATTTGAGGAGGAACCGACCGGCTGTGCGTATCGCGGACGGGCTTCGTTGTCGCGGTGCAGCCCGGGCGCGCGGAGTCCCCTTGTAGCTCAGCGGTCGGTCAGCAAGGCGAGAGGACCCGGGTTCGATTCCCGGGCGGGCGGGCGGGCGGGGGGGCGCTGAACGCTGGGCGAGTTTCCTTACGCCCGCACCTCCCCCCGTTTGCCCAGCAGTGAGCAGGAGCCCGGTTCGTCAGTCGATTGGCGGGATCGCTTTTCCGGGGGCGGGGAGGGGGGGGGGGGCGGGGTGGAGGGGGGTAATAACTCCTTCCAAAAATAATAATAATAATAATAATAACAATAATCCCGTCACCGGTTGCGGCCGCCTACAGTCGATGGACTTCACAGTGTATTCCGTGGAGCGCTTTGAGACGTCGTGAAGAACGACTCGGATCAAATGGAAGGGTTATTACGACGATGATGACGACGATGATGATGGTGGTGGTGGTGGACAGGGGTCTGGGGGCTTGGGCAGAGGCTGGACAGTGGGTGGGGGGGGGGGGGGCAAGGCATGAGGGGGGTGTCCCTCCCTCCCTCCCTCCCTCCTCCCCACCCCTGGGGGTGGGGTTGGTCGGTGCTATTGGCTGGTGCGGCTCCAGGGAGGAGGAGAGAGTGAGAGAGAGAGGGAGAGAGAAAGAGAATGAGTGAATAAGAGAGAGAGAGAGAAAGAAAGAGAGTGAGTGAGAGAGAGCGAATGAGTGAATGAGAGAGAAAGAAAGAGAGTGAGTGAGAGGGAGAGAATGAGTGAATGAGAGAGAGAGAGAGAAAGAAAGAGAGTGAGAGGGAGAGAATGAGTCAATGAGAAAGGGAATGAGTGAATAAGAGAGAGAGAGAAAAAGAAAGAGAGTGAGAGAGAGGAATGAGTGAATGAGAGAGAGAGAGAAAGAGAGTGAGTGAATGAGAGAGAGAGAGAGAGAAAAAGAAAGAGAGAGAGAGAGAGAGACAGAGAGTGAGTGAATGAGAGAGAGAGAGAGAGAGAGAAAGAAAGAAACAGAGAGTGAGAGATAAAGAGCTGAAGGGGAGAGGGTGAGAAGTCAGAAGGACAACCGAGTGGGAGAAGCTGCCGCATCCCTCCCCCTCCCTCCCTCCTTCCCTCCCTCCCTCCTTCCCTTCTCTCCCTTTATTCCTTCATTCCCCCCCTCTCCCCCCTCCTCCTCCTTCTCCCCCTCTTCCTCCTCGAGCACTGGCGTCGAGCACTGAAGGCCGAGTCGGCGGCGGCGGCGGCGGTGAGAGCGGGAGGGGACTGAGGGGATGTAGTCTGTGAGGGGGAGAGGGAGAGGGGGCGCCATGACAGAGGAGGGCGGCGGCGGGAGGGAGAGGGAGGGGGAGGGGGACAGGGCCGGGGACAGGGCCGGGGACAGGGCCGGGGCGGCCAGGCTGTGGCGAGCCTCGGCTCTGCGCTCCAGGAAACTGCGGACCAACCTGCGGCAGCTGACGCTGACCGGTCTGAGCCCGAGCCCGAGCCCGGGGCCGGGGCTGGGCCTGAGCCTGAGCCCGGGGCTGGGCCTGAGCCTGAGCCCGGGGCTGGGGCTGGGCCCGGGGCCGCCCGGCGGCCTGGCCGAGGTGGAGGTGCTGAACCTCGCCAACAACCACCTGGAGGAGCTGCCCGAGGGGCTGGGGCTGGGGGGGGGGAGGGGGAGGGGGGAGGTGGGGGGGAGGGAGGAGAAGAAGGAGGAGGAGGAGGAGGTGTAGGAGGGGGAGGAGGTGTAGGAGGGGGAGGAGGTGAAGGAGGGGGAGGAGGAGGAGGAGGGAGGAGGGGGAGGAGGGGGAGGAGGAGGAGGGAGGAGGGGGAGGAGGAGGGGAGGAGGGAGGGAGGAGGTGAAGGGAGGAGGAGGGAAGGAGGAGAGGGGAGGGAGGGAGGGGGGAGGAGGAGGAGGGAGGAAGAGGGGGAGGAGGTGAAGGAGGAGGAGGGGGAGGAAGAGGAGGTGAAGGAGGGGGAGGAGGAGGAGGAGAAGAAGGAGGAGGAGGAAGAGGGGGAGGAGGTGAAGGAGGAGGAGGGGGAGGAAGTGAAGCAGGAGGGGGAGGAGGAGGTGGAGGAGGAGGAAGAGGAGGGGGAGGGCGAGGCCTCCTGACCAACCTGACCGTCCTGATCCTGAGGAGGAACCGTTTCCACCGCCTGCCCCCGGCCCTCCAGCAGCTGCGGCACTTGACCGAGCTGGACCTCAGCCACAACTGCCTGTCCTGGCTGCCCGACGAGACGGCCACCTGCCTGCGGCGCCTGAAGAAGCTGAGCGTCAGCCACAACCGGCTCCAGAGGCTCCCGGCCGCCATGGGCTGCCTGACCAGCCTGGAGGAGCTGGACCTCAGCTTCAACGAGCTGCGCCGCCTGCCCGAGACCTTCGGCCACCTGCGGACGCTGCGCATGCTGGACGTGGACCACAACAAGCTGGCCCATTTCCCCCGGCAGATCTTGGACCTGAGGGACCTGGAGGAGCTGGACTTCTCGGGCAACAAGGTGGACAGCTTGCCCGGCGAGATCGTCATGTTGCGGTCCATCAAGATCCTCTGGCTGAGCAACACCAAGCTGGCCAGCCTGCCCGACGGTTTCGGCCGCTTGACCACCCTGGAGAGCCTGATGCTGGACGGCAACGGGCTGAGCTCCTTGCCCGAAAGCTTCCGCAATCTGGAGCGGCTCAAAATGATCAACCTGTCGTCGAACGGGTTCGAAAGGTTCCCCAACGCTGTGGCGGAGCTGGTCAGTTTGGAAGAGCTGTACCTGAGCCGAAACCGACTCACCGTCATTCCGGAGAAGATTTCCAACATGTCCAAGCTCGCCACCCTTTGGCTGGATAACAACAGGATAAGGTACCTGCCCGATTCGATCGTGAGCCTGTGCTGTCTGGAAGAGCTGGTGCTGCAAGGGAACCAGATTGCTATTCTGCCCGACGCATTCGGAAAGCTTTCGAAGGTCAACATTTGGAAGATTAAAGACAATCCCCTAATACAGCCTCCCTACGAGGTCTGTATGAAGGGAATACCCTACATAGCAGCGTACCAGAAGGAGCTGGCTTTGTCTCAGCCCGCAGTGAAGCCCAGGTTGAAGCTCGTGCTGATGGGACTCAAAGGTGCCGGCAAATCTGTCCTGAGGCAGTGCCTGGTTGGCCAAACGCACGGTCTTCCTGTGTCACACGGGAAAGGAATCGAAGTCACTCAGTGGGTTGCTGATGTTGAGAAGAATCTGACTTTTATCGTCTACGACTTAGCGGGAGATCAAAACTATGATCTCATTCAGCCATTCTTCCTCTCGCCCGGTGCTTTTTACCTCTTGTTAGTCAATCTGAAAGCGTACGTTTCCGGTCGCTTTTATGATTTTGTTGGCTATTTCCTACATCTTCTTGGCGCCAGGGTGCCTCATGGTGTTGTGTGTATGGTGGGGACCCACGTAGATCTCTGCAGTGAAAAAGAGATCGAAGAAAAATGCCTTGGGATTCATCACCAGATTGCTCTCCAAGAGAAACGAGATGTTGAGTTCATGAACGCTGTAGCTCAAAAGGTAGACAAAGCCCTGAGCCAAGAGTTTGATCTGCGAGCTACAAGTCCACACGCATCGTTCTACGGAGTGTCGGATAAAAACCTAAGGAGGAAGAAAGCACAGCTGCAGTACATGTTGAATAATCGCCTCCAAATATTGTCTCCTGTCATCCCCGTGAGCTGCCAAGGCCAGTATCTGGGCATCCAACGTTTGAAGGAGAAACTGCTGTCAATTGCTGAACACAGGGAGATTTTTCCAAATCTCCATAGAGTCTTGCCAAAATCATGGCAGAGGTTGGAAGAATTGCACTTTAAGCCACAGGAACTTTGGCTCTCCTGGTGGGACTCGGCCAGGTTGGGATTGCAAGCCGGCCTCACAGAAGACCGACTTCAAAGTGCCCTGTCTTACTTGCACGAGAGTGGCAAGTTGCTGTATTTTGAAGATAGTCTGACTCTTAAAGAGTACGTATTTCATAACTTAACCAAACTCATTGACATTCTAAATATCTTCTTCCAACGTGACGCTTCGGTTCTTCTTCAGAAACTCTTGGCTGACGCCGATATTGATGAACTGAGAGCAACGCAACTGCATCACTACGTGGAAGGGTTCCTGCTTCACGGACTTCTTCCGGTGCACATCATTCGCCTTCTTTTGAAGCCACACATCAAGACCCAGCAGGATCTGAATCTAATTCTAGAATTGCTGGAGAAAATGGGTCTCTGTTATTGCCTCAATAAACCGAAAATCAAGCCACTGAACGGCGCGGCAGTCTGGTTCAAGTTCCCCTGTTACGTGAAGAATGAGGTTCCACATGCAGAAGCCTGGATAAATGGCTCAAATCTCTCTGGACAACCATTTGCCATCGAACAGCTTCAAGTTGAATATAGTTTTCCCTTTTTGTTGCCTCCAGGGCTTTTTGCCAGGTATAGTGTCCAGATCAACACACATGTTGTACATCGATCGGATGGCAAATATCAGATTTTTGCCCACAGGGGAAAGGTTCCTGTGGTGGTCAGTTACAGACCTTCCCGAAGCAGTCTGCGGGCAGACACTTTATCTATTACCAGCCATGCTTCGTTGCCAAATATTTGGACAGCATGGCAAGCCATAATTCCTCTGGTGGAAGAACTGAATATGCTTCTCCAGGAATGGCCAGGATTGTACTTCACTGTGCATATCCTCTGTTCAAAGTGCCTTAAGAGAGGGTCCCCAAACCCGCACACCTTTCCAGGTAAGGTCATATAAGTTTTTCCTTACCTACTGTCCTCAAGCTCAGAGCAACCCACTGAACCGGTCTAGTCAGTACATTGAATCATTACAGTGAAGCCTATTCCTGAATATTTCTTTATAATAATTAAATACATCAATTATTAATTGAAAGGGATCGAAACTCAGACATTCTATATAAACCTGAAACAATTATCTGTATTCATAACTTTAAAAGTAAAACATAAAGGAGGGATTGTTGGGCAAAGTTGAGCTCATTTATTTTGTATAACGCAACAGCGTCATTGTTTGGAAACGTGCTCTCCTGAGAGGTAGGTTGAATAATTTAACTCTGGATATTGAAGGTTCAGTTGTGCTTTGGTTCCAGTTTGCTTTCTATCAGCAGGAGGTTGGATGATGAAATAATTCTGAAGTGTCCCAAGGGTCCTCAAAATAAGTCTCAAAGGTTGTTGTGTTATCAAATAGTTCAATGAGTTAAATTGAAACCTGCTCGCACTTTCTATTTATTCATTCATTATTGGATATCTTAGGAATGCGGGTGGGTGTGGCACGTTGGTGTAAAAGCTGCCGGTACACAATGAATTTTTAAATAATTGGGTAAAAAGCTTGGGGCAATAATAATCCTTGCATTTGATATAGCGCCTTATCACGTCTTCGAGACGTCTCAAAGCGCTTCACAGAATATAGTGAATTGATTGTATATTTTGTGGGCGAAACGCGGCAGCCAATTGCGCACAGCGGCGTCCCCACAAACAGTCGTGGATCCTTAAATGTGCATTTAGGAACATCAGCAGGTGGTCCCCTTTGCAGATAAGTGGTTTGCTCCACTCGGGGGTTGGGGAGGACGCAATCCTATTTCGTAAATATTATGCCCTATATTGGGGACCTCAGAAAAACAGTCAGGTAGCAAACAGACGAAGGGCTGAGTAGCATTTAATGCTGGAAAAGTCTGTGTCTGTCATATTATTGTTGTTAGAGACACATTCTGTGAAGTGGTTGTGAGATGTGTTGGAGTTGCCGCATCAAATGCACTGATTGATTATTAGAACCGAATGTTCCTTTTAAAATCTACTAATTGACTGCCCTGCGCACTACACGGCGAAGCACTGATTAAAGAATTAAAGAACGTTAAGTTTGGTTCTCGAGACCCATCACACAGCTAAGCAGCTGAGTGCAAGCTGGGTTCTTCCCCTCACGGAGGAAGGAGAGAGAAAGTAAATTTCGCTCCCCCCAAAAGTCGGTAGATGCGAGAATTGATTTGAGATACGGTATTTAAAAGAAGAGCGGGAGATACTCGAGAGAAGGAGAGAGAAAGTAAATCATGCTGTCTCGTTCTTCTCACGGTAGCCGCTTAGGATAAATCCGGAACCCTTCGGGAGCACAGGAATAGACAGAGCCCATTCAGTACATCAAGTCTGTCCCATCATTTTTTTAAGATCTTGGTGTCCCATTTCACTGTCTTCTCCATTACCTTACAATAGACATTTATATGGCATACGTCGGGAGGACTTCTCAAAATGCTCAAACATGCCAGATGGGCACCCGAGCAGAGGTCGAATGCCAAGGTGGGTGGGGAGGGGAAAAAGGATTGAAAGTGTCTTCATGGAGGTTTGTTTAGAGAAGAACCATGAACAAGGTGAGGGAGGAAGGGAGTCGGAGTGACTCTGGGACAAGAGTTCCAGAAGCCAGTGGCAGGAAGGCCGAAAACTCACACGGTACGAGATGGTGGGTAGATGGGCCGGGAGACATGCCGCAGGTCAGTGCTCGTGAGCAAAGGGAATGGCTGGGGACGTGCGGTTGACGCAGGTCACGGAGGTAGGGTGTGGTGAATCCGTGGAGGGGTTTGAACACGAGAATGAGTCTACTGGGAGATAGGGAGCCATCAGAGAGAGTAAGCATAGGCTTGTCGAGCCTAGTGCTGGAAAGGATTCTAGATAATCTGCATCTGCGTAGGGAACATCTGGGGAACATCCTTACTCTCAAGTATCTATCTCCTCTTTTAAATACTTTATCTCAAATTGATTCTCCCAACTTTCTGGAGAGTGAAATCCACATTCTCGCAGCCTTTTGCGTGAAGATACATTTCCTTTTCTTATTTCTAACCGTCTTAGCTCTTGTTTTCAGAATGTCCCCCAGAATGATGAGTAATAATAACCCTCGCATTTGATAAAGCGCCTTATCGCACCTTTGTGACAAAGCGCCTCACAGATATATTGTAAAGTGTAGTGACTGTGTGTTTCGCGGGCGAAACACGGCAGCCAGTTGCACAGGGCAGTGTCCCACAAACAGTCGTAGATTGAGTGGCCGAATTATTTTATTACCTCCTTACCAGCTTAATATTGTCTCCTTATCAGCTTAATGTAATGTCCTCTCTTATTTCCAGCACTTCAGGTGAGTGCTGTTATTTGGTTTGAGGGGAACTGAATTTGAAAGTGAAATGTACAGGTCGCTGAGTCTTGTATATGCTGCACAACCAGGTCAGAGCTCAGCAAATCCCTGTTACATATTTCTTTGAGGTTTGTGATTACTGCTTATTCTGTGCCAAGCTTCCAAGTTTGTCTGTAGACCTGAGTATTAAACCACCACAACAGTCGTCGTTTGTAAAAAATTAGTTTTGAGTCTCTGGCAAGTTGTAATTTGAAGTAGCATTTATCCTATGTGGTTTAATTGATCTAATTGCACTGACCCACACCGTGAATTTGCGCTCTGGAGTTTTGCTCAGATATAACAGTGCTCATTAGCTACTCTGACGTCATTGACAGAATCTTTGCCACGAGCAGAGGAGGAGGTGAGGGGCTGAAGTGGCTGCAAGTCTGTCCCAACTTGATGCTGTTAGATGATCATTGCCCAGAAGAGTGAAACGGATAAAGTTTTGGATGTTATTTAACATTATTATACTTCCTAACTTTAAAGATCCCATGGCACTTTTTGAAAAGGGAAAGTAGTCCCTCCCGGTGTCCGGGCTAAAAATCCCCCAAATAAAATTGGCCGTTACCTCCATGGCTGTGGGCTAATGCCGTGCGCAAAATTGGCTGCTACGTTTGTCCAACAAAGCACTCCACTTCACAGTATATTCCGTGAAGCGCTTTGAGACGGTCTCGAAGCCGTGATAAGGCGCTATATCAAATGCGAGGATTATTATTATTATTGTTATTATTATTATTATTATTATCTCCCTCTGCATTGAGGCTCCCATTGCTTAGTCTGGAGGGCAGTGAGCTGGCTTGTTTCCATGAAGTAAAAACCTAGGCCTTAAATCATAATCCTTCCCATTCCACACATTACAATGCGCGAGTCAGTGTTCAGATACACCCGGGGGAATTGTGTAATAAAAAAAAGTCGTTAACGCTGAATGGAATAGCCTCTTAACAAGGCTCCCTCCACAACACGCCATTTGATTCGCGCCGCCAGACACGTTTTTCAAGTTAGCCCCTTAAATTAAGGATTATCACCACAGATAAAATGAGAAGAATGCTTTTACTCAGAGCAACGTTAGAATCTGGAATGTTTCAGACCAGAAGGCTGTTGGGAGCCCAGACTATAGCAGCGGTTAACAGGGAATTGGGGAAATAATATTTAACGGTCCGGGCAGGGGAATGAGATTGGAATCCTTAGCTTCGGTGAGGAGGAAGTGGTGCACCAACAGAGACCAGATTAACGGAACTGCCTCGTTTCTTGCTGTAAACTTTGTATAGATGTTGCGGTTATGTGTCAGGCGCTGAGCGAGTCACGCGCTCCAGTTCTCTTTTACCTCCAGTCTCGGCTGTTGCTTTGACCCATTGAATACTTACTGCATCGTCCGTACTTATTTTTGTCAGAATCGGAAACCTGGATTGTCACCGAGTCTAGCAGTTTTTTAGTGCAGAATGGGACGTCAAACAAGATCTGACGAGCAGTGTTCCTTCTAAAGGCTGAACGGGCTCAAGATAGCCCCGTCAAAACTCGCCGGATGGAAGCCGTACAATCCCAACAGGCTGTGAATGCGGTTTTCACATTGCATACACGGACAGAGTTTTAATTGGCTTACTCCCTACGTGCTGGCTGATTCCTGCCATAGCAAAAATGGCCAACGTCTGGGTCATCAGGTCTCTGCCATGACTCTGGTGGCAATCTGAGTGCCCGGAGGTGACCGGTTTAGAGCGAGAGTTGCCGGGGCGCAGGAAGCGAGGTAGTTGGCCAGTTGTGCCCGTCTGTAATGAACGGGATCCACACTCGACACTGTGGCTAAATAAGCGCTGCAAAACAGTCTGTTACAGTGGGTTTGCATTGCGTGTGCAATCTTAAGGACAAGTAGAAATTTTCTAACGAGCTGAAATTCCGATCAGGAATTGACATTTTCATTTCCCTAAGCCAGGGCCTGCCCTTCCATGGGTAGGGAAGGCCCTTTAATCAGTCTGTGATTAGAAGTAGAGTGAATTTTGAAACCTCATTTTAAATGTGATGTTCTGGTGGAACGTATCGGGTTCTAACCGCTTCTGCAATTGAGGCAAGAAGACAACACGTTGGTTCGCTGGGGGAAGGGAGGGTGTTTCTCCCGCTGGCCCACACGCCTCCAAATAAGATTGGTCATTCACTTACCTCGTGGCTGTTTTGCGGATCGTTGCCGTGAGCAAATTTGCTGCCATTTTCTCGACAGAATCTAAGTCACTACACTTTACAGTGAATCCTGTGAACCACTTTGAGATGCCCTCCCAGGGTGAAAGGTGCTGTACCTAATGGTTGGATTATTACAGCATTATTACCTGCGTTTAAGCATGATCAAGAACTAGGGGAGCAAAGCGATCTGGGGTTTCAGATCCACGAATCTATAAAAGTAGCTACACAGGTAGATAAGGCCACAAAAAGGGGCAATGGGCTTTATATCCAATGGGGTCAGAGTATAAAAATGAGGAGGTGCTGTTGAATTTGTACAAAACCTTGTTTGAAGTATTGTGTCCAATTGCAGTCTCCAGAAGGATATAGCAGCGATAGTGATGGAGAGAGTACACGTGTAGAATGATACCA